CCCGCAATCATTTCCCGGTATATAGGTAGAACCGATGAATCAGTGTCGTTCCAATTCCGGTTTAGAACCTCACTGCCACCCAAAATAAAAAGACAATTCTAATTAAAACAACCAGAGTTACTCAACAAAAATATTTAACATGATCTCAATTTTGGTATGAACCTGCAAGCTGTCCATTTGTATGGAATCTTGGTGGTGTTGGCATGAAGAGCTTTCTGAACATCAGGCCGGTTATAATAAATCTCTGCATATCTCTCAGTACATGGATCATACCCTGATATTTTCCTCAATACCTAACCAGAAAAACAAAATTATTCAAATTAAACCACACTAATGATCTGGTATGTGAACAATTACCAAAATGAACCAACAATAACCAACTTAAACCAGTGAACCGGATCTAAACCAGAAAGAAAACAGAGCAGGGAGATTCTTACAGAGTGGGGAAGGTGAGGTAGCCTCATACTCCGGCGACCGGAAGAACCAGTGTAACCACCACCACCGTCACTTGACTTATTACACGGCGGTGCATAGATGTTGTACTGATCGATATTACCAAACTCTTGCTCCATGGCGTAAGAATAAAGCGTTTCACATTCATCAGATTCCTTTTGACGACTAAAATCGCAAGTGTTAACCAACTGATGATACGTCCTGTCCGAAATCATCGCGTGGCTCCACCAATACGACACCGTTCCAAGATTGTCGTAGTGATTGTCCGTTACCGCGTTTCCAACCTTCAAAACGCAATTTTTCAAACGCCAAGGTTCGATTTTTTTGTTTTCTCTTCGTAATGAAAACAGAGGATCTTGATTTTTGAATTTTCAACTTACCATGATTCCTTTGAGATTGATTGGACTCTTAGATCGTTTGTTGTAATTCATGATTTCTCTAGCGAGCTGAGGAACGTAATGTCCGGCGTAACTCTCTCCGGTGATGTAGATTTCACGGCGGTTGTATCTCGGAAACCGGTGAAGCCATTTAATGATAAACTGAAGTGAGTCTTGAGCTGCAAATACAAAGAAGAAACAGAGTGTCAATAACCCAAGAAACCGGTTAAGCTAAACCGTAGAGTGATTTGTTTGATTTCATTTAGTTTTACCGGTACGGCGATCGCCGGTACTGAAGAGATCGGAGGAGCGGTTAGTGTAAGAGAATCCGACACCGGCGGGAGCTTCGAGGAACAAGAGATTGGAGATTGAGTTCCACGCGAACTTGTTGAGATACAAACCGGACCCACCTTTGCTTATCCTGAATGGTCCAATCTCCTCCGACGCACCGTACGCTACCGACGAACACCCCGGTCCTAATCATCCATGTTACAATAGTTAATTCGAAATTAGAAATGTAGACTAAGACTAAAATAAATACTAGTAGTTGTAAAATTGAGATAGAGTTTGATAGAGGTTTAAATTGAATTGGAACAAAAGAGACCAAAAGTTAGTTGTGTATTTAATAGGACTCTCAACGCTAGTTTGAAAATTGCATTTAATGATTTAACCTTTTTTTCAACATTTACAAGATAATTTTGTCCAATTGTAGTATTAAGAAAATACAGGGATCTATTGAATGCATGCATGATAAACTAAGCATTACGATATGTACATAAGAAATGTATAAACTTATCATTTTTGTGAGGACAAGTTGTATAATAGAGGCAAAACCTTTTAATAATACGTAGCACAAACATAATAACTATTCTTTTAAACAATATGAGAAATTTGGGGTGGTCGAATAAATGGTGAGTCTCCATTGGTAGTTAGGGCATTATTCACATGCCTCAGTAGGCCAAACCCAAAAATAGTATTTTACAAAAATATATAGATAAATAAACCCAATTTCATGTATAAAGAGTGGTATATAAACAACTACTACTAAACAAAGACATTTACATGCGAATTTATTGAAAATTCGTTCAAGAAGTGTGACGGAGATTAGTTATCATGTTAAACTCAGATCTAGCGAAGTTTATAATGCTAATGTAAATAAATTAATTTCCAAAAAGACGCTACTAATAACAAAAAAAAACGAAAATATAAATAATGGTTTTGGGTTAGTTAATTACCTCCGTTAAGCCAAATTACTAGAGGTTTAGAGAGAGGAAGGTTAGGAGCTTCGGTGAGCCAATAGAAGAGTGATCTTCCGGAGAGTTTATCGACGGTGACATAACCGGAAAACTGCTCGAACGTGACATTAGGTTGACCGGGAAGTGACGTAATCCGG